AGATTCCACATACATATGCGTTCATAAAAAAAGAAAAGCAAATCATTCAATGTAACAAAATACAAAAAGTACAATCCAAGAAAACTCTCCTACAATAAAAAGAGTGCATATTAAAATTATATATTGAGAAGGCACACTATATATCTGAAAAGTAAACCCAGATCAGCTAATATCAAGACATATTTTACTATGCCTATTGGGCAATAAGAAAAATAAATCTTTTGGACATCTAGTCAAAACAATAACAAAAACACCAAATCGCCAAAACCGGTTTGGCTCAGTGGATTGAGCGTCGGCCTGCGGACTGAAAGGTCCCGGGTTCGATTCCGGTCAAGGGCATGTACCTGGGTTGCGGGCACATCCCCAGTAGGGGGTGTGCAGGAGGCAGCTGATCGATGTTTCTCTCTCATCGATCTTTCTAACTCTCTATCTCTCTCCCTTCCTCTCTGTAAAAAATCAATAAAAAATATATTTTTAAAAAATGATGCACTGCTTAGGAACAAAACTGCTCTTGGCCCTTGATAAAAGCTTTCACAGAGAAGATTGATACCTTTAAACACTGGAACCAAACACCTGATATCATTGCTTTTCCAGAAACCATCATCTGATTATTCTTCAGGGAGAGCAAGGGCTGGCTATGACACAGGTATGCCAATCTGTGTTAATCCTAATTCAACAAAACAAACAACCCAATTAAAAAATGGGCACAGTGGTGATGGAAGGACACTTGGCTTGGGATGGTGAACACACAATACAATACACAGTTGATATCCTATATAATGAGAGGAATATGCTAATTAGCTGTTACACCCTGAGGCATAATGACCAAGTGCCTCACGACCAGATCTCGGATCAGCAGGAGGGTGGGCCAGTGAGGTGCAAGCGGGCTGCAGAGAGCTACAGGATGGGGCAAGGCAGCAAGCTATGACAGGGGAGAGGGGGAACTACAGGAGGGCGGGGCAGTGGGTGGAGAGCTACAGGAGGGTGGCAGCGACCTACTGGTGCACAGATTCGTGCACAGGGCTACTAGTATTATTATAGAATTAGGCACCTGAAACATATAATTCTATTAACCAATGTCACCTCAATAAATTCAATAAAAAATGGGTGCCAAACTTGAATGGGTATTTCTCCAATGAAGATAAATAAATGGCAAATAAGCACATGAAAAGATACCCAACATCATTAATCACTAGGGAAATAGAAATCAAAACCATAATTAGGTATCCCCTCACACCCATTAAGATGGCTATTATCAAAGCAAAGCAATGGATAAAGAATGTTGGTGAGAATGTGGAGAAATTGGAACCCTTATACATTGCTGGTTGGCAG